CCCCAAAACCCCAAAACCCCGAGGAGTTTAACTATCTTGAAAGTAATTATAGAAAATTTGAGATATGTATCATCTGGAGGTATTAAAATTCTGATTGGTACACTGATCAGATAATAGATTGTGTATTTATATCCTTGATTTTCCTCTAAGATATAACTTTAAAAATATACGTTTTAAAATATCATTAAAATGGCAAGAACAAAACAAACATTCAGAAGGGCTACTAATAATAAGGGTTTTGCAAGAAAAGCAATAGCAAGAAGAGCAAGAAAATCTGTACCATGGAGACGTGGTCGTGCTGGAAGGAAAATCGGTTTAGATCAAGATAATGATGAGAATGCTGGGGGAAACTTTGATAGACTTTTTACTTTTACAAAACCAGTCAATATGATTCATTTAAATCACATCAAGTAGAATAAATAGAAAGCAAATAAAAATGGAGAGATTTAAATTGACACCAGCACTGCTAAGAAAGGAGGAAAAACTCTTATTGTGCAACCATTGACTATCAGAAAACCTAAAAGACAGTATAATGAAAAATATCTTGTTGAGCTGGTTAAATAACAGAAAAAATTATCTGATCAGAAATCTAATCTAAAAAAAGACAAGGTTGACAAGCTTGATGATACCTTGAAGATGAATTCCTGCTGTCTTTTCTGTAATAACAGGCTGATGATTGAAGCAGTGAGGAAGAATGATATTAACTAGGTCAAAAATTTGCTTGCAGATCATGAAAATATATCAAATCCGTTCCAAAGCCTTAATTGCCAGAATAACTTCGAGGATGCATTTTATTTGGCTGATAAACTTAAGCATTATGAAATCATTAAACTTTTTTTGAGGGATCTCAACTCTAAAAAAGAGAGAAAGGAGCTTCCATCTACATTGCTTGAGTAATCTCATACTGGTAATCCTGGTTCCTATAACTTTAATCATGGCATAAAAGCTCTAAATCAAGCAAGAGTAATTAATATTACATTATTATTTAACTATAGGGATCAAAAGAAGGAAATGATGCTTTTACTTAGGATGATTTTGCTAGAGAAAAAGTTAAAAGAAAAGCTATACTTTAGAAAAATTAGTATTCCCTTCCAACATTAAAACTAATAATGACAGAAAGGAAAAAAGATAAAAGTGAAAATGATGTCTTTGAATCGCTTTAATCATAGACAATTAAGTATGTGAGAAAAGGAATGTAAAAGGAAGCCGAATTTCTTTTGAAATATGATTTTGAGAATCAAATTAATGATCTCAACAGACTATATGGTGGGGCTCTCTCTGGAGAATTGCCCCCTAATATTGTCAAAATCTCAGTGATAAAGCAATCCAGAATGTATAACATGCTTTCACCATTACACTGTGCCTGCATTAATCCTAATCCTAACATTATCAAAACTTTATTGAAGTCAGTTCCATAATTTTCACTACCTGATTTTAACAGAAGGAATCTTATTCACTATGCAGCTGCTAATCATAATCCAGATGTTCTTAAATTCCTGCTAGCTAATGGTGCTGATCCTAATGAAGTAGATTCTATGAGAAATACTCCTCTCATGATTGCTGCTGAACTTGGAAGAACTTAAAACATACTAGCCCTTTTGGACCATTTTGAATAAAAAAGAAAGGCAAGAGAATAGGCTGAAAAAGAAAAAGATAAGTAAAGAAAGAAAAAGATCTTGTAGAAACCAAAATCAAAGAAAAAGAGTAGAAAACCTAGAGGTAAATAAGGAGGTGATGATGAAGATGATGAGGATATGGATGATAATGAAGGTGACAACGAAGAGGAAACCCTAAATATTAATTATGTTGATACAAAAAATAGATCTAGTTTTACAGCTCTTCATTTTGCTGTCCTGAGTGGAAGCATGTAATGTGTTAAAGCATTACTAGATGCGGGGGCAGATCCAAATCTCAAAACCTCAAAGTCTATGGTAAATAAAAATTTTTATTACAAGAATATTAAATAACCAATTAACTCTTAAAATATAGACACCCGCGCTTATAGCTAGCGCATGCGGCTATTTAGATATTTTGAGGCTTCTTAAATCTCATGATGTAGACTTAGAAGGTAAGGTTCACAAACAAAGAAAAACAGCTTTGATTTTTGCGTGTATGAATGGACACAATGATATTGTAGAATACTTAATTGATATTTGTAAAGTGGACATTAACAAGTAATTTTCTATAATTATAATTTTTAATATCATTCTAGGTCTGATACTTCAAAGAATTCTCCTATTCATTACGCAGTGGCCTATGGCTGGTAAAAGTTGGTTTAAATACTGATTTAGCGTGGAGCAGATCTTAATATAAAGACTATATGGAATTCAACTCCACCTTCACTTGCTATTCAGAAATATCATTTCCAGATTCTTCAAATTCTCATTGCCTCAAATAAAAATGATTAATAACCAGATCTTTATTCAGATGCTGAGGGAAGAGATATTATCGTTCAAAATCTAATAAACTTTGATCTCAATGTTATTCAAAGATTAGAAACTCTTATTAAACTGCTCAACAAGATCAATCTACAACCAAATATGAGAGATTAGAATGGATATTCAGCTTTTCATTATCTTGCTGGTTTGAATATCTCTGAGATAGCTCAAAACCTTTATAATAGTAAACCAGACGAAGTTAAGGCTTTATATAATAAGTTTAATGCTAAAGAAGATGGGAAAAAATCATCAAAGAAATAAGCAAAGGATTTAGATAATAATAGTGAAAATGATGATTTGGCAGGTGGAAGTGACTAGGAAAATGAAAATGATGAGGAAGACGAGGATAATCCAAATAAAAAGAAACAAAGACAAGAAAAAATTTAGTTCTTATATGATCTGCTAAGCTAATATGTGATACAAATAGTCACATTTTTGGAACATCTTGGCTACGACAACAATCTCATATCTACTAACAGCCAAACTCCTATTCTGCTTGCTGCCTAGTGTAAAAATCTACCTCTAATGATTTGGCTATTAAACACAAATATTCAAATTGTAACTTGAATTTACTCATAAAATATTTATAGAATGAAATAGAGCAAAGGACTAAAAGAACTATTACACATTATGTTTTTCATTCCATTATATCTTAAAGTAGTGAAGAAGCAGATGATTTAGAAGAAATTAAGAATATTTTGATGAAAAAATATCAAAAGAATATTTAGAGTCATCTTTCATTATTTGATTCTAGAGGATTTACGTAAATATATTTAATCTTAATAATGATTAAATCTTTAGGCCCTTACTCTACGCATTAGCTCATGGCTAAAGCATTGTTTAACATGAAGTTACAGATATAAGTTTTAATTAGCTTAATGATAATACTCTAGAACTCTTGGGATTTGCTTTTAGTTTGAAAAGCTAATACTGCGATACGGTTTCTAACTAAAGAAATTTAAGCAAAAAGCTATATAACTAGCCTGAAACAAGTGAAGTATTAAATGAGAAAGATAAATATAATAGATCAAGTATGCAAATTTAAACGATATATAATAAACTCTATTAAAACATTGAGGATAAGATTAAGGATAATCATCTATTTAAAAAATATAATCTGATAGACTTTAGATTCTAACAGGGATTCCAAGGTTGCTACTTTAATTAATCAAATTGGCTACATATGTTGACCAATATCATTGTATATTCAAAAAAAGAAGTTAATACCAAGCCTTTAATAGAGTTCATAGACTCTATAATGCCTACTCATTCTTATCTCATAACCTAAGTGAACTATTATTAAGAAAATTCCTTGACTATTGCAAGAAATCATGAAAATCTTTTAAAGATTTACATGAAAAATTTGAAAAAAGAATAACTATTATAGCCAATTAAAGATCATTATCGAGATGGGTAGCCTAATTGCTTACATCTATTGGCTTTTGTTAAAGATAGAGATGCTATTAAATAAGTTCTAAGTAAACTTAGCTATAAGGAAATATATAGCTTTGATAATCATTATAATAATGTCTTGCATTATGCCTGCTATTTTAGGAATAGTGAATTGATATACCAAATTCTTGATAAACTACCTGTTAATTCCAATTGTGTTTAGATAATGAATGGTTCTAAATTTACCTACTTAGATTTCATTATAGTTTCTACCAGAAATTAAATGGAATTACCACACATTGAGGAGCTATTGATTGATAAGTTTCCTGGTATAGAAAATTATAGATTTGGTTATCGAGATAATTGTATTCTACTTTTAATGAGACATGCCTCAAATAACAACTTCGATCCAATTAATACTGTTAAAATGCTAATTGAGAGATAGCCATAATTACTTAATACTTGTGATAAATTTGAAAATCCTCTTCTTAACATAGCAGCAAAGCTTAAGAATATACCATTAACTTTAGCTTACATATATTAGAAATCCTATAATAAAAACTATAATGATTCAATGGGAAATGTTGCACTCTCTCACGCTATAATGAGAAAGAATTTCGAGAATGCCCTTTACTTACTGTAATAAGAATAAACAAAGGTTTATTAGTATGGTTATAAATACAAACACTATCTTAATGATTTTATAAAAAATGTATGCCTAATTTAAATAATATTTTTTAGGGAGGAATATTGACAAAGAATTTGATTTAAAAAATAAATGATTCTCTCAAAGATCAGTTTATAGCAGAACCAGTAAATATATATCAATTGTCTTTTGAATGCAAATTTTTCGCATTATTCCATCTTTGCAAAAAACAAGACTAAATACTTTTACTTGAGGGTGCATTGCTAGCGAAGAATTACATTTTATTCAATCAGCTTCTTGATAATTGTATTTTAATTTTTTATTTACTTTCATAGTCAGCCCAGAAGAGATACTTGAATATCAGAATAAAGATAACATATTCCTTTTGTTTGCTCTTGCTTAATCATAATCTTACAAAGAAATGCAATAGAATAACAAAGAAGTAGAAGAAGAAGATAACGATGAGGATGAAGAAAATGAATAGAACCAAATAGAGGACGGTGGAATTCCACTTTAAACTTTAGAGGATATTGAAAATAGCATAGAGAAGATTTTCATTAAACTCATAACTGACTATAAACTTTCTATCTATTAGGCAGATAATTCAGGTAAAACTCTGCTTGTTCAAGCTCTATTGTCTTAAAATTTAAAGGTAATATCCTTAATTTTCAAAGAACTATATGAAAATTCAAATAAAAAGTAAGTCCTTGAGTATATACTCCAGAATACAAACCTTAAAAAATTGAGTTTTTTCAATTTGCTGTTATCAAAAAGTCTAAATATTGATGAGAAAATCCAAATTAAGATACTTCAACAACTGAATCAATTACTAGGGAAGAATATGTTCCCTCTTTTAAATAAGCCGTATACATTGGATCCAGCAATCTTTTTTCATAATAAAAGTAATATTGATTAAGAAAGTCCATATATTACAAATGTAAGATAATTCTTATACAGTAAGCACAAAGGATTAGTTGAAATTTATCCACTACACGACTTAATTGAGGCTTAGAGATATGAAGTTGTTTAATATCTAATTAAGAATGGAATAAAATTTGATTCAATTCAAGAGAGGCAATTGATTAACTTATCAGCATTGTTGAAAGATCTTAAATTAATCAAAATCTTGCACAAAGAAGGGAACTTAGGTATATCTGTATTAGATAGTAAGAAATAATCTACTTTGCATTATTCTCTCTCAGACTATCAAAATCCTGAGGGAATACTGAACATTAATGCCTAGAATTTAGAAGTATTTTGGTATTTGATTCAGAATAATTAAGAGATACATAAACAAGCATACAGCTCTGATTTCAGATAAATTTTAACAGCCTCAAAACATAAGGAATTGCAGCATCATTTCAACATTAAACCGTAGGAGTCCAAATAATAAAAGCAAGTCCTCAAAACAGTTGATTTGGACTAAGTTGAAAAAGATTTTAAGCAAATGGCTCAATAATATAGCACCTCCTCAAACAATGATTCAGCAAACAATTCCTATGATTTAATTGATGAGGTATCTGAAATGCAAGATACCCATGAGATTGTATATGATATGAATGTATAATTGATGAAGGTCGACCTTTAAGTTGGATTAAATGGATTATTGAGGTTTTACAATATGCAGCTCTTAAAAGAAAAAGTTAATGATAGATTTGTGCTTTGGACTAGATGGGGTAGAATTAATGAATAGGGTTAATATCAAAGAACTCCATTTGGGAATGATAAATCTGCAGCTGTCAAAGAATTCAATAAAATTTTCAAGCAGAAGACCGGCAATGATTTTGAAGAATAGAATAATGTCTAAATTAAAGGAAAATATAGAGTTATTGCCAGAGGAAAGGTTAAAAGCTCTTTAAATGTTAGAAAACAAATGAAGAAACTCTAAAAATCAATTAAAATGACAGAGGTAAAAGCTTTGCTTAAAAATTCCTATAGAAATGCTAATCCTACAAACTAAAGCATTTTCAAACTGTATGAAAATTCTATCCTTGCTCTTATTTCACAAAATCTAGAAAATAGAAATAATTAGAGAAATAATTCAAGTTCACATTTAACTTTCCATCATATAGAAGAAGCCAGATAAATTCTAGATGAAGCTTTAGATCTATGTGATTAGCAAGAAAAATTAAAATAAGCCAATAATAGAGATGAAGTCTAAAACATTTAAGAATAGCTGATGGAGCTCAGTAACAGATATTATACACTTATTCCATTCAAGGATTACACTCGTAACGGAATTAAATTCCTGTCTTGGAAACATTAAATTGAAAGAGAGTAAGAGGAATTATCTATTATGGCTAATTCTTCATTGAGTTTTAAGCTTGCTATAGCCTCTATAAAAAATGCTTGTCCTCTTCAATACGTTATAAATATGCTTCCTACTAAAGTCAATCTTCTCAGTTCCCTTGATAACTAAGCAGAGTATAAATAGATAATGAGATATTTAGATGCTGGAAAGCCAATAGGATCATAATATGGAAAGAAGACTCAAACTTATGTAAACAATATCTTCAGTATAAATGAATCAGGCGTTAGAATGGCCGATGACAATGAGCTGTTCAACTAAATTCATAATCATTGGCTTTTATGGCACGGTACAAAAAATGAAAATTTGATTGGTATTCTGAACTAGGGCATGAAAATTAAGCCTTCAGGAGTTAATTAAGCTGGAAGTCTCTTTGGCAGTGGAATATATTTTTCGGATAATGCTAATAAAGCTATAGATTACACCTCTTACTAAGAAATATAATACTCTAAGGAAGACGCAAGCTTTTATATGCTGCTTTGTGAAGTTGCTTTAGGAAATGTAGCTAACTTCCCTTCTGACTGGGAATCAAATATATACAGACCTCCAGAGGGTTCACATTCAGTAAGAATAATGTCAGAAAAAGGGCCAGATTTTTCATAAAACATTTATAATGAAGATGGAATTATAGTTCCAGTCGGGAATATTGTTTAATACCCTCCCATTAAGGTGTTAAAAGGCAACCAAGAGTACAATGATATTAACAACTTTGCTGACTACCTAATGAAACAAGAGTAAGAAGAAAAGAAGAAAAAACTTAAAGTTAAAGCAGCAAAAAAGCCTAAGAAGAATGTACCAAAAAAGAAAAAAGTTAAAAATGAATCAGATGAGGAAATGAGTGATGAAGGAGATTCCGAAAATAATGAAGATGAAGAAGAGCAGTAATTTGAGCAAGAAATAATTGATGTGGGTCTCGCAAAGCATTTAGAAAAGAGATTTAGAGAAAATAAGGAAAAAGATAAGAAATTTGGCTTCAAACCCCACATGATATCTGCAGATTATCTTCTTGACAAGCTGAAGAAAGACATTTAGAATCTTGATTAAGAAAGCTCTTATACAGATATGGCTCAATATATAGTCTATTCAGAGAAATAAGTCAGAGTAAAATACATTGTTGAATTCAAAAGGGAAAAAGGCATGAATACTTCTAATTATTGATATTTTGATATTTATAAAGTGAATTAGAAAATAATGAGAAAAATAATTTATCTATCCTAAGCTTTCTTTAATTTCATTAAAACTTTTTAAAATCTAGAATTTATATTCAGATAAAAATTATAAATTTCCTATTTAGTTTAATCTTGTTTATCATTAACTCGATTTATTCCCATGTGTAAATTCATCATTTAATAACTTGATAAACTTCTATCTCTATCACTTTAAAATTTTTCGCTCCTGCTAAATATTCTTTTGATTGCTAATCATCCTCAAAACAACCTTTTTCCGGGTTAAAAATATTACCTTGACTACAACAGCTCTCCGAATTATAATTGCAGTTACTTGAAATACTGATACCATTCCTTGTTCCGAATACCATGAGTTTATTTTTATTATGTTGAACAGCAAACTCAAAGTATTTGTGGATGGTATTTTTTGTAAGAGAAAAAATAAATGCTTCTTTATCTATTTCTTTTTGAATTGTTATAGGAGATTTCCAAGGCTTAGTTGTGTAACATCCAAAGACTTGATCATATTCACTCAAGATAAATGAAATTGTATTCCCTTAATTATCACATTTTTAGTGGAAATCTTTTGAATTAAATCCATCAGAGGTAGCCTTGTATATCAAAGAAGCTTTTCCAATTACTGGTATCAGATTTGATGGAATAATCTTTGAATTTTTAAATTATTTATCAACTAGTCTTCTAAACTCTTTGTACATATTATGTTCTTGATTTGGTTTTACTTAAATAATAGCTTCTTATTGCTATCTCTTATCATAAAAATTTTCCTTTAGCTTTATGTTTAAACTAATTTATTGTATATTTTCATTTTTCTCAACCTATTTCTACTCTTCATCATTTGACTAATAAAAATCCTCAAAGCTCTCCCTATACGAATATTAGTAAAAATAAGAAATAAGTTACGAAAAATGAGAGATAAAGCTTAAAATGTTTGACTTATATTAGATATTATACTTTATCTATTCTTCAATTGTTGAATTCTATAAAACATAATTATTATGTATAATGATATCTTCTATTTCTTTAACTGTGAAGTTCCTCTCTTGATTCATGAATTGCTAAATATTAGTGACTAATCCTGAAAGCTTTTTATGCTCTTCTTACAAGTAAGGCAATATGTATTCAAAAGATTCATCCAGAAATTTTCATTGAAAAGTAAAATGCTTAGTTTAATCTTTAAAGAAATGCCTATGAGGTACTTATTGCAAGCATTTACTGCAAACCATTTTATTGAGCTTTTTGCAGAATACAGTTGCATATTTCTTAGGATGTTCGTCACAATTGATAAGATAAAATTAATGATTCTCTAGATTTCTAAGTAAATACATTGGCGATCTAATTGGTTGTTCAATTTCACATAAGTGAGTATTATCAAAGGGACATAGTATTTGCTGATTCTATACTTAATCTTTTTGTAAATTAAAGCATTGAAGGCAGATTACATCCCCGCATGTAAGTTCTACTGGCTTCCTTTCTTTTAAATTGTAAAATTTGTTGCAACAAAAGCAGGAATATAAATCGCTAGATTTTGGCTCCATTATTTAAAAATATAAACTTAATTGATAATTAAAATTTTCCTTATCTCCTTATAAAGTATCTATTATATATCAATGGGGTTTTGGGGTTTTGGGG